CCCTCTATGAGGTGGATTGATTCAGTGGCCGGGATAATCGGGATGGATGTGTCAGAGGCAATGAGATTGGCACAGGATAGAGCAGGGTTTAGGGCTGTTGTACATAGGGTTGCTATGAGTCGCAAGCGACTTGATAGCACATAACAACAACACCACCAATATTACTTATACTACTTTTCATGGCTATTTTGGAAACTCCAGGACACGCATCTTACAGAATCTTAGGTTTATCTGATTGTTTCCACATGAAGAGAACAGGTTAAAGAGTTTTGGCAACAAATCTCTTAAGTTTATGTCTACTTCTCACTGCCCTGCTTCAAAAGACACAAATCACAAGGCTGTTTCCACACTGGCAGCACTTACATTTTTTTTCTATTACAGAATATTCTTCAAAAGTATGCAGAATAATAGAATGAAATCACATGTTGACTGTTAGCTTTAGCAATTATCTGAGGTTCATTGTGGTCTACCCCAACGTTATCCTTCCAAATTACTTTAACGGCATTTAGGCTCTGCGTCATCTCATGTTCAGTCTGTGTTCACATTTCTAGGGTCCTTACTGAAATGTTTTTAAAATTTTGGTAAAAAAAAAAAACCCGTATTACACCTTTGCCCATTTTTTCCCTTTTACATGCAGAGTTCAGTGATACCTATTATTAATCATGTTGTACACTTATCACCCATAATCTGTTGCCAAATATCCCATAACTGTAAACCATAGGATAATGCTTCGTAAATAAGGGCCCCCTCACCTTCATAATTACTAATAAACTTTGGTATCTCTGTATTTTTCTGTTCTAGATATTTCACTTAAGTGTGTTTAGATATACCATTAGTCTTTTTGTGAAAGACTTCTTTTACTCCATATTGATCTCATTTCTTAAAAAAAATTATGATTTATTTACATTATGATGCAAATAAGCTTCCCACATTGAATATTGGCCAGTATGTCTCTTAAGCCTATTCATCTTATTTTTTCCCCAAATAAAGGCAACAAAAAAGTGATTTTAAAATTCTACCTCTCCTACATATAATAATTTATTTTTCAATAAACAGTCATTTGACTGTACAGGGCTTTTCCCCACCCCTTTTAGATTCTAGGATTTCTTTTTTTAATTACAGCTCTAATTATGTCTTGTAATGTGATATTTGCATCTACAGGTTCCATCAGATACAAATTTCTTTTTTAGCAATATCACCTCATATGTATTGTAGTGTTCTTCCTCCTGGATGCAGATAATGTTTAGCTATCTTCCTTTTTCAGTGGTGTTGCTGTTTAATCAAACTAGTTAAGGAAGGGGGACCCGTCAAATTCTCTGGTATGCAAAAGCTACTTTCTCCTCATCTCCTGTATGCCTCTGAAAATCCGCTGGAGGGTGAGCTAGAAAGAGATACTGGAGCCCCTAGTGCTACAAGCCGTTAACTTGCTAGGCTGATAACCACAAGGTTGGAGGTTCAAGTCCCTCCAGAGGTGGCACAAAGGAAAGGTTCTGGAAATCTACTTTTAAAACAATCTGGCGCGCTCTGGCAGCCTAGTGGCAAGAAGCTGAACTGCAATCCCTGAGGTGCACGGTTCAAATCCACCAGAAGCTCTGCTGGAGAAGGAGGGACAATTTCCTCCTGTACCAGTCAGATCTGATTTGACGGTATACACACACAGACAAAAATAAAAAAGAATAAAATAAAACAATCAGTCACTGAAAACCCTATTCACAATTCTATTTTGATACACGGGGGTCTACGTAAGTCAGAGCAAACTCCATTGCAGCTGGGAAATTCTTCTGTAAGTATCCTGCTCCCCAATTAACATTTCAAGCATCCTTGAGAATTCTAACCTGGATCACTTTTTACAGTTGTTGTTAAATGTTGTTGAGTGGGAACCAATTCACAGCTGAGCGTCCAGTGGGTTTTCCCAGGCTGTAAGTAACATGGGCGGAAAGTGCCCATCTTTCTCCTCTGGAGCAGCTGGTGCATTTGAACCACTTTTTTCTTTGGAGCAGTTGGTGGATTCAAACCACTTGCTTTTGGCAGTGCAACTCCATACCCACTAGGGTACCAGATATTGTTCTTATGAACCATCAAGTCAGTAGTAACTCATGGCTGACCCTCCAGTGGGGGACCTGACTGCCCATCTTTCTCCTGTAGAGCAGTTGGGTGATTCAAATCAGCTCCCTTTGGGCTCGCAGCACAATTTCTTACAACTAAGCTGGCAGAGCTCCCTAATTGTTACATTAGGAGTTACAGAAAAGTTTACATTCTCCCTTTCCTACATATAAGAAATTCTTCTGTAAAGAAGATCTCTTTCTCTCCTTATTCTCTTTCCAATGTGAAGTCCTGGATTCTTTCTTATTCAGTGTGTCATAAGCTATTACTCTTTCTTTCCAATGCTCAAACTGTCCCATATGTGGCCAGTGGGAGCCAGATTCCATGTCCCCTTGGTATGACCCTAATAGACTTTAAGTATCTTCTTGCTTCT